TTTTTGCTGCATAATTTCAATCGATACCAAAAGTACTCTTGCTCAGGATTGTAGGAGGGGGGAGGTGGGAGTTTTACCCAGCGTGCATTTGGTCAGAGGCAAGGACAGGTCACCACTCTATTAGAGCTGACACGTACTGTGGAGACATGCAGACACTTTCACACCCTTTATGCCATGCATTAACAGCCATGGTTACAGTTCTTGGAGATCAGTTGTCATCATTCATGACATTTCCTCCAGAACTAACCAACATTATTCTCACACATGGCATTAATGACATTGTCATCAACTCTATTTTGGTCTTTTCACTAATAATGTACCCTCCCCTGTTCTGATGGTGGGTCTTAGGGCTTTGTAGAACTGTCCACTCGCAGTAAAGTTATATTTATAATTGTGCAGTAATCCACAAGAGGCCATGATTTAGAGTGACTCTGTTACATACAAACTTTTCTAAATAAGATGTGTATATAATACAACAGCAAAACTCCACAAACAGCTACTTTGTTAGAAATACAACAGAAGAACAACTGGTGCGTCAAACTGAAACTCTTTCCAGTTACCTTGCTGAGGAGCTGCAGCCATTTGCGTTTCCTTGGAGTTTTTCACATCCAAAGCTGTCCCGTGTTTTGCTAGTTGAGTGCTTTTAGCTAGCAGCATTAGGAGATGTTGTGTTTGCATTTGCAGAAACACGGTTCTAGGACAGTAAATGAGAAGACTAAAAACTATAACTCTGTATGTCTTACCTGCCTTGTGTAGGGAATTTAAGGCCAGTGGTGGAATTGTAATTATAGCTGGAGTGTGGGACTTGTACATATAAATGAACATCTGTTACATTCGATGCTCATTCAGCTTATGGCCACCAAGCTCTGTGTGTTTTGCTGTACATCAGAGTAGTGGTTTTTGTGGTGTCTTTGCTGCCCAACCGCACTTACCTCTGCAGTCCAGCTCACTGTAACTCCAGCGCCCTCAGGACTACTTTCTTCTCCTCACACATTTGTTTTTATTTAATCTTTCCACTGAATGCAGAGTTAATGTGGTTTTACCTGGAGCTTTACTCTGTTTTCATGTCTTCTCCCATATGGTAATTACTGTCCCTGCCAGAGGGGGGAGACAAGTCTGCACTCAGCTTTTACAATGTAAACTATGATATAGAGAGGTAATGAATAGATGTAAATACATTGCAGAAAGAAAACATGTCTTTTCAAAGGTTTAAGAAGAAATGTTTTCAGGTGTTTGAACGCTATTGGATTTTATAACCATTATAACCACAAAAAAACCTCATAGTTCAGTATGTTTCCATTTTGGCTTACAGCATAGTTGAACTGCTTGTACCCAACTTGAGTTTTAAACTGCATCACATCTTTAATGCAACAGGTTGTCATTAGTCCAATTCAGCCTGATGTGGGTCAGGTCATATCCTGCAGGCGGGGGTCACCCTGTGTTCACTCGTCATTTACAGGCCGCCACGCTGCACGATACCACCAATTTGGATTTTGCGTGCAGACAAACAATTGATCAAATCAGTAGTGCTTGAGCTGCTTACGTGTCGCAGGGAAAAAAAACATTTGTCCTGTCTTCTTTGACCCTATTGTGCTTTTATTTCATCTTGTCACACCACCGGCATTCCCCCTCATTCAAATGAGTATAAATGGGAATAGCGTGACTTTTTTCAGACAGGGTGTGAACCTATTCGCTCTCCCTAGTTTGCGTGTGAAGAGAGGGGCCTATCATATCAGCTGTGTGAGAGTTTAAGCGGCACGCTTGCAGCAATCTGCTTTTTCACTCTCCAGGTCCTTTATCCAACTAGAGCAGTTTTCCTGTGGGTTATTCTTCCTATCCCTCCACAGGAAAGCCAGCCCCCCACCCGCTGCTGCTGCTTCCGATCCTGAGCTTTCCTCCTAGCCTTTGGAGTTGGACAACCCTTTTTCCTAACATTGTCCTATGTTGATCATTTGAAAAGCCTGACAGGAGATTATTTAAGTGGTCCTTTTAGAAGTAATAGTGCAGTTACTCCTTTCCTTGAATGTCTGATGTAATGATGAACATGACAGATGCTTCACTTAGTGCAGTGGTTATCAAGCTTTTTCTGTCAGGCAGTCGAGCCCCCCCCAACACAAATAGTCACGTAATGGGCCAAGTTAACATTTATTAAAAATACATCAATATGAATGTGAGCATTCCTTTCAAAACCTTGCTAGAACAGTGATAATAAAACAATGCTCCATAAGTCTGTGCTAAAAAAAAAAACATAAAACAATTGTGCAATCCCTTTGCTAGAACAATAAGTTATAATACTTTGCCACTTTGCAATCTGTGCAAAAGAAATGAAAAGAAAGAAAATGCTGATATTTGGCAAAAAAGTGTGTCACATGCGGCTTTCACACCAGCGCTTTCCCTTTCTAGCTCCTAGCGAGAGCTTTTCTGGTTCAGCTCCCGTTTCCCTTTTCAGCTCCCGCTCTGTTCACACTGCCCAGAGCTGCCGAGAGATTTTCTCCCACAACAACGGGGGGGGGACTGCGTCGGGTCGACGATCGTGTTGCTTTTAATCATACGAAGCCAGATTAAATTAAATAACGACTTCTCCAACCTTATACTTTTCTCCAGAGTGCCGTGGTTCATTGTTTATTAATGGTTTCAGCATTTACCGACCGCTACAGTGCTGGCTGCTCTTCAACGGGAGTGTATTCTCCCGTTAGCTCCAGGTTAGCTCACACGGCTCTAAAGTATTCACTGTCTGACTGTCACACAAGCAGCTGATACATATCCCCAGTTCCCCTTAAGTGAATGTGTGTCAGTCTGAATTGACACTGTTTGGCATCACAACGCTGTTATGAAAGTTTCTCTGGTATAACATGGGTGATGTTAGCATAGCAACCGAAGCTAAACGGACTACTTGCTAAGCCGTTTTCTCCAGGCACTTTTTACCGGCGTATTTTTCATTATGATTCTACTTGTGATAGTCGGACATGACAACCTGTACAGCCCATGTATTAATTCCATCCGATAGCTGCTATAATAACAAACCAAACGTCTGCCTGCTCTCCACAATGATCAATACAGCGAAACGGATGGTCAAAGTAGAGGTTTCCT